TATATATATATATATATATATATATATATATATATATATATATATATAAATTAGGAATTAAGGCTATGAAAAAAACTCTAATTAAGGAAATAAATTTAAGCTATTTAGTAAAAATTCAATTATGCTATTATACAGGTTTACAATATACTTTTATTGAACCTGCGAGCGTTATGTTGGAAAATGCGTGCGTCGCACGCGAAAATACGAAACGTCGTCATCAGTGTCTCGATCATAAACGAAGAAAGCGAAAGGTTAAATATAGGAAAGGAGAATTGGTGCGCAAAGGGTAAAGGGCAAAGGGAGTCTTCGAGAAGGAATACGAAACCAATTGGAGTGAGGAAATATTTTGGATTTATCGTGTTCTCGAATGACGAATTCCTGTTATTTATGAATTGAGCGATCTGTCAGGTGAAGTCATAGATGAAATATTCTACGAGCAAGAATTAGCAGCAATGAACAAAAATTTACAAGAGGAAGAGTTTATTATAGACAGGGTGATACGAAGCAAAAAACGCGGAAGTGCGAAAAAATTGCTCATCAGTTGGCGAGGATATCCCTCTAAATTCAATTCCTGGATACCCGCTTCAAGTTTAAAGTCACTCCCGAGTCGCGATGAGGGGGCAGTTTCTAATAATTCTACCGAGCAATAGTAGTATGCGATATTTTCCGGAAAATACAACCACTACTTTTACTACGGAATTACTCCAGCAAGTGAGCCTAACCGGACTGTGGGAAGTTGCGCTCACCGAAATTCAATTTCCCCGCAGTTTCCTCCACGTACGATCCGGAGAAGATTCGCTAATTTTTTTTATTTCGGCGAGTAAAAAGATGCTCGAAAACGGCAAGACAAGACTCAAGTTCGGGGTTACGGAGATAATTCCTGGTGTCTACAGCACGATGGAAGAACTGTTAGAAGCTTTACATCATACTTGCGCTGAGCTTGAAACGCATATTACCTTGCGAGAAAATTCTCATCGCGGAGATAAAATACCGTTGAATCGCACATGCAAAAGAGGATAATGCGAATGGCATCATTTCGTACGGTTCTCCAACAAACTAAATCGCATGCTTGGTTTCGATACACATACACATCGAGAAGGAGAAGAACTCGTAAAGCTCTAACTGGAGAAAGAAGACTATGGAGAACTAACGTACTATTCCAATAGCAAACAGCGAATCCCGGAAAGCTGTACAGAGATATTTTACCATATTCATCCGTTAGTAGATGAAGTCATGGCTGACGAACGAGCCTGCGTGATACGCGGTGTTGCTGATAAGTTCTTCGTTAATTACGACATTTGTGAACTTTGTGTAACGGGGGATGTGCATTCGCCTCTTTTTCGTGTGGTTCCTGTTGAATATGCTATCGATAAATGCGTGTACGGAAGTAACGCGGTGAAACATTTTTCGCCAGCGAATTATATCCTTTTACGCTCAACATGCTTCTGTACGATAGAAATACCAAGTATGTAAATATGAAACCGGAATTTTTGTATAGAAAATACACGTTTATTGTATAAAAATGATAAAAAATATTTTATTCGAAGTATTGCCCATCGCTAGCTATACATTTTTTCCACCTGTCTGACAATTTGTGGATGCCACGCCAAAAAAACTGTTACTCTTTTGAGGCAAACCAGTCATCGAGCCATTTTCGTACATTTTTGTAAGAAGTGAAGCGCTGCTTAGCAAGTGCGTGTCCCATCGATGCAAATAAATAGTAATCGGACGGAGCCAAGTCTGGTGAATAAGCAGCATGCGAAAGTATTTCCCAACTAAACGCTTCAATCGTTTCCTTGACCAGTTTTGCTGTGTGTGATGGTGCATTATCATGAAGCAAAATCACTTTGTGTTGCCTTTTTTTATATTCTGGTCGTTTTTCACGCAAAGCTTGATTCAAATCGATCATTTGTTGTCGGTAGCGTTCAGTATTAACAGTTTAGTCAGGTTTTAGCAGCTCATAATAGATCGCACCCTTCTGATCCCACCAAACACAGAGCATTGTCTTCCGTCCATAGCGATTTGGCCTTGCAGTCGATGTCGATGGTTCGCCTGGAGTTACCCATGATCTTTTACGCTTAGGATTCTCAAAATATATCCACTTTTCATCGCCAGTCACAATTCGATAGAGAAATGACTTTTTTTTGTACCTGGCGAGCAGCATTTCGCAAGTGGTTTTTCGATTTTCCTGCTGTCTTTCATTCAGTTCATGTGGAACCCATTTTCCCATCTTTCCCATAGCTTTCAAACGTATGGAGACGGCTTCTCGTGTCACATTTAATTGATCCGCGAGTTGTTGTTGCGTTTGAGTGTCATCCTCATCCAACAATGCTTGCAATTCGCTGTCTTCAAACTTTTTCGGTGGTCTTCCACGTTCTTCATTTCTCACGTCAAAATCGCCACTTTTGAATTTTTTAAACCACTCAAAGCACTGTGATTTACCAAGAGCATGCTCACCGTAAGCTTCGACAAGCATTCGATGCGATTCTCCAGCAGTTTTCTTCAAATGGTAACAGAAAATCAATGCTGTAAATCGTAGTTTCCAGACACAAAATTCGATATGTTCAACGCTATTACAAACTATGCTGTTGTATGAAACTTGTATTGTTGTGAGTTGAAAATCTTTGTCAGAGATGTCAACAAGAAAATGGCGCCAATGACGCGGTTTGACGGTAACTACATTGACAGCTAGGGCCATCTATGGGCAAATTCCGGTTTCATATTTACAGACCTGGTAGATATAAGAGATCAAGTGGACGAAAGAATACCATTCGATTTTGAAACGTTATACTTTAGACGACGAGATTAAGAGATAAATATATTTCAATTACAAAGTGATATGTCATATTATTTGGAATATTACGAGGTCTAGTTCGAAAGAGGAGGAGGACGTGGAGGTGGAATTCCTTGAATTTTCGTAAGTTCGACGTATCAACGTGGTTACGGTATCGGCAGTTTTCTCGGTGGCTTATTTAGACGTGTGCTCCCTTTCTGGCCGGTGATGCGCGCGCCATCGGAAAGGAGGCAACGCGCGCAGGGATTGGAATAATTGACGACATTGAAAACAATACATCAATGAAAACCGCTGTGAAAACACGCCTTAAAGAATCGGGTGAACACCTCAAGAGATAGACCGAGGAAAAAATAAATAAACTGATGGAGGGATCAAGATATATCCCGTCAGCAAAAATCAAGAGAACTCAGTTCCCTTTCAGCACTCTTGCGGGTTATATTACCAAATCCTCCTTGCGTAAACGCTTGGTCAGTAACAGACGTTCTCAATCGACGAAGAGTAAAACGCGACGAAGAAGAAATCAGGCAGGAAATTGTCGAAAAAGAAGCGAGTAGTGAAGAAACGCAAGAATCGAACCGTATCAAACATTTTCTCTTAATTCTCAAAACGTGTACGCTTTCAAGCGATGTCCTTCCTTCACACTCATTCCACAGAGTGTTTCAAAAGTGAACTCGAACTCTTCTCTTTGCCACCTACACAAACCAGTATCGAGATTTGTAATTGATTTATTACAAGCCAAGTGTCCTCTCTCGCGGACGACGCTCCCGTCGAATTCGTCGTACTCGGAGAAGAGTACATAAATCGCACTCACATTCTGCTCGCACTGCGACTGCGGATGGAAACCAACGCGACTGGCGTCAAAGTAGACTCCGTGAATCATTTGATATTCAATTAAATCGACGTATATTTCAATCAAAAACTCATCTCTGCTCCAAACAACGCTTACGCATACCGCGCGTACATAGAGGCGTTATTAAATTATGCTTCACTGGTAAAAATCTCCCATCTGAACTCATCCCTGCGGTACACCGATACCGCAGGCAATATGGATGCTATGTCAGGAGCAACACCCGCAAATTAAAGGTTAGACAAGCGAAGCAATTACGTACAAGGAGGACAAACACTGGATCTTATAGGACATCTTCACTGTGACGTGTTCAATTAAGATAAATTTCTGAGCAATGGCGTCGAAGTGCGAATGAGATTCATTCGCTCTAAAGATTCCTTTTGTCTTATAGAAGCTAATCTACATCAAGAATTCATATCTTAGACGCCTCATTGATTGTGAGAAGAAACAGAGTGAACTCCGGCATATTTCTCACCCACGCTAAGATGTTGACCACCACTACCGCCAAGTATCCGCTCACGAGAGTCGAGATTAAGACATTCACGATTCACAGCGGAGTTGTGGGTAAAATGCTGGATAACGTCATACTCGGACAATTGTCTAAACGCGTAATCATCATTTTGTTGACAACAAAGCAATCAATGGTGATACAAAATTAAATCCGTTTAATTTCAAAAATTATGGAATAAATCTCTCTTCTTCTTAACAACATATGTTAAGATCAAGATCATTGAGACTGACTCCGTTTCTATCAATATTTGCCAACTTATTTTGTGGTAAAAATCTATTTAAGGACATTCATTTAAGATTACGTGGAGTATTCTTCTCAAAATTCAAGATTATACAATATAGGATAGATGGTTTTTGGGGAAGTTCATTAAAGTTCAAGTTTCTTTATAATATATAAAATCTTTAAATATCTTCCTTTTACTCTTAAAAAATAAACTCATCATAACTTACCCAATAGTGTGCCATTAAATTTACATTTATGACCCTAGAAATTTCATCGATGTTATAATTTTGTAATGTTTTTACTGGAGCAATACCGGCATTGTTGATTAAAATAGTAACGTCGCCAACTTCCATTTTTATTTTTTCAGCCATTTTGAAGACTTCATTTTTATTTGACACATCACATCTGCAAGGACAGAACAAATTCACTTCGAGAAATGATAACTAGAATTGTGTTAATATTTGTACAGAGTAAAGCATTCCAATTGTTTTGTATTCTCTATTAGATTGGATATCGTGTAAACCAAATTGTGACAACGTACTGATAAGCATATACAGAACTTTTTCCCATTGCTTTAATCTCGTTCATTGTCTGCTCATTGCTTTCTTTATTGATGTCCCAACATATCACCGTTGCTCCTAAGGACGCATAACCAATTGCTAATTCTTTTCCAATTCCGTCACCCGCACCAGTTATCTGTTATGATATATATAGTAAAGGGTAGTTTGTATTTATATATATACATATCACACACACACACACACACACACACGCGCGCGCGCGCGCGCGCGCTGATTCATACTCAAGTATTTCATTACTGATTCCGTTTCTAGATTCGGTTAGTGACAAAAGATGAAAAATGGGTGCAATACGATAATGTGGAACGGAAATGGACTTGGAAGCAGAACAATGAACGCGGTCAACCTATGTCAAAAACCGACTTGTATTCTCGAAAAGTTATGCTATTTGTATGGATTGTAAGGTGTGATATTTTATAAGCTACTTCTTATTAGCGAAATTATCAATTCTGATAAATACTGTGAACAATTGAACAATTTTAAGGCAGCAATTAAAGAAAAATGTCTAGTTTTAACCAAACAGAAAAGCGTTATCTTTTCCATCACGACGACCTACATGGGTTTTGATCCCATATTATTGAATATACCTATCTACATAGCACGTTTTATCCAAGAGACATTCTACAAGCATCATTTTTACAATAACTGTAGGATATTCTAAGATATCTCAAATATGTCGTGTATCTCAGATATCCAGTAATGTACAAGTGTTCGTCTAACCTATAGACGTGATATCCTATAGATGATATCTGAGGTGACGTCAAGAGAATATTCGAATGAGCTAAAAAATTTACGTATATATTATTAAAAATTACCGGATATATTATCCTAAAAACGTTAATATGCGTATAATGCACTTTAAATGTACATTTAATACATTTTATTAAAGATATATTGTAAATGCACATTTAGAGTATGTATTTGTTCTGCATATACATATGTAATGCACATTATGGCTATGTTTCGATATTTACTATCAAAATACTGCAAATCTATAGTTAATGTTAAGTATATTATAGATTTTCAATATTGGAAATAAATATCGAGAAACAGCATATAACAGCCAACTTACAAAAAACATACCTGGTTTATTGAGGAGCTTAAGAGGAGAACTCCATGTAACTGATCGGAAAAATCGACTTTTTTTAAATTAAATCGAATCCTTGTTATATGGAGAATATAAAGTTTTAGAACCAATTTCGAAGTATTAATGGTACTTATCTGCGTCGCACGCAAGTATAATATAAGAGTCGTTCGGCTCGTTTTGGCCGGACCCCTCCCGTTTCTCGGGAATCCCTTTTGCACAATAGACTTTAATGTTTCTCAGTGGCCGAGAGGTACTTGAGAAGGCGTAAGAAACGCACAGAACGCTAGTGAGAGTCTGAATGCAATGATTTGGCAACTAGCTCCCAAACATTTACATAGCACTAAAATAATAGAAATAGTTGCTTATATTGCTGCTAGCGTATTTAACGAGGGTTATTTTGCAGTTCTAAAAATGGTGGATGTTTTAAAATTGGTCAGCAATGTAAAATTTACGCCGATTTATTGGACAGTAAGCGATTGAGCAGACAGGAGCGTCAAACTCGTAGTAGCAAAAAGGAGGCTCAAATAGCTCATAAACAGAAAAAAATTACTGAAAACCAATTTTTCGAGGAAACGGAGGGCCTATTGTATGGAGTTGGAATTGCAGAATAGTCGAAATGAACCGTGAGTTTCCAAAAACTGTTATTTATTTGCTTCGTCAACTTTAAATACGTTTTTCTCAGAACTACTTTTTCATAACTTGCGTACATCAGCTAAAAAACTATTCAACCAATTGCGTTGCGCTTATGCGTGCATGTATATTATTACTTTTGTAATAGAATGAATCTAAATATTATTAATATTTATTTATTTAAACAATATTTCTCAAACAATTAAGATGAAAATTTTCCATAAAATTAGAACTTTTTCTTTCAAAGTCGTTTATTTTCACTAAATTTCCATTTTTAAAAAATAAGTTTAGGTTCATTCCAGGTGGTTTTTATTAAAGAAGAAAACAAGTTTTTTAGGATTTTTGTTGCAAAATTAAAATTGAAACCGTTAGAGTGTACGCAAGTTCACCTCGTCAATAACGAGGCCTGCGACATCTACCTCCATTAACCATCAAAATATCCATTACTATTGTTCAAACAAAATATTTTCTAGTTCCTTAAGTATGCATTTAAATATACTAAAAGTTTTAAAAAGACTCATCGAATAATTTTTTTGTTTTTAATCCCCAAAACTATCTATTTTTTGGCTCATTTACATGAAGTTCTCCCCTTAATGTAATTATTGGAATGGTAAAAATGTTTTTATAAACAAAACATTCATAATTTGTTCTCATGTTTTGCGAGTCTTGAGTACCAAAGAATGTCAATGTACATTTTAAATGTTCGTGTATCTTTCTTTGGTAGCATCGATTTCAAACAGAGCGACCGGTCGCCCATCCATCTGCGACAGGAAATATTGCTTGACTTTGACTATCGAGCAGCACTTGTAGGTACTCCGGTATTTATAAGTAAAGAGGGGCAAAACGAAAAAACGCTCAGAGTAAAAAACACGAAAAAAATTAGTAAACAAGCTAAGGCCTCAAAAATTAAAAGTCAAAAAATTACAGCTTCATATAATCAATTATATCATGTGTACAGTTGTGAAAATTAAAAAGGGACAAACGATTCCTCGCGATACTTCTAGTGTTAACAAAATGTATCAGGAACTGGTACATCTGCGTTTGAAATTGTTTAACAGGAAAGGTCCAATTCTTTTCTGCACAATGCTCGACCATACGTCGCACAACTGACGCTGCAGAAGTTGAACCAACTGGGATATGAAACTCTGTCTCATCCACCATATTCATCGGACCTTTTGCCAACCGACTACCACTTCTTCAAGCATCTCGACAACTTCTTGCAGGAGAAAACCTTTACTAAGTCGCTGTTCAAAACGCCTTCGAAGAGTTCGTTTCCAGAAGTCCGGAATATTATGCTCATAAAATACAAAAATACACTTTGTTTCTCATTGGCAAAAATATGTAGATTCCAATGGTTCTTATTTCGATTAATAAAGTTTACTTTGAGCTGAAATATTTGTATTTGAAGTTGAAATTTAAAAACCGCAATAATTTTCTGCATAACCTAATAGAAAGAAACAAAGGTTTAGTTGAGGTGAATGAAATCATAGATATATCTGTCAATGTAGAAATCAGTTGTCAAAGAGCGTAGTTTATTAATATATTAAGTGTATATATTAGTGTATATATTAAGTGTATATATTAAGTGTAACCGTTTTCTTTTTCTTATGTTCGTTCTGAAAGATACACACTTATTTCACTGGTGTGACTTACTTAACTCATCAATATTCTTACGAGTTACGCTTGTATAATGTATCCTTATAGTGTTCATATATTTATAGTGTACATATATTAATTGACAAACATTAACGTAACTCAACAACATTAGATACACGACGAATATTGATATAATGTATGTGGGTAGGATGAAAAGTAGTGCAACTCGTATATGTATTTGAGTATTTCAAAGACATGAGCAAAAATCATTTTAAAAAGGACACAGAGAAGTTGGAGAGTCGCTGTACTAAGTGCATTCAATTAAGAAAAGAGGGAAAATTATGTCGAAAAATTAAAAAATAAATTTTCACTGTAAAGAAATTTTTCATTATAAAAATCGAACAGAGAATAATAATGCCATTGAGTTTTAATAATATAATATTTTTCTAGATTATAATATATTCTTGTACAAAAAACATTTTTTACAAAGTACAAACATAAAAAGTAATGGAATATTTGATAGTAAATATTAAAACGTAACAACAATCGAAATACGAGAGATATCGAATAATGTGTATTAGTGAATCAGTGATGCTATGATCGCTTGTGGATTTTTAAGTAAACGTTATTGGTAAATTGGAGTAAGCAATAAATTTGATTTAAAACACATAAAATATGAAGTAATTCATAACAATTATGAGAAAATTTATATTTATCTTTATGGTCATCGAAAATTAAAAAAATTAAGATGTCCTATACAAAACCAAAGAATATAACAGGATATTTGGATATCATGAGATTGCAATAAAGATTACAATATCTTAGAATATCTTACGATATCCAATTGGAATATTTCGGACTCCATATATTAGGATGTTTTAAATATTTGTGGAATCACGTTTGAAAAGATAGAAAAATTTAGAATATCCTCAAGATAAAATGTGCTATAAGAGATATCGTAAATTTCCAATACGATATCTAATAACATCTTATTAGAAGATCCTAGACGTTATTTACTAAGATATCCGTGGTATTTGGGAATCTATGACAATTTGGAATATTTTCAAAATAAAGTGTGTTGTGCAAAAGTAATGTAAGTTCAGAGAACTGGGATATCCTATTACATCTGTATTTTCCTTATATTTCTCCATCAGATTATTACTTGTTTCATTGTTATAAAACAGTTAGAGCGGTAAGAAAATAAAATTAAAATACTTTTTTATTGTTTCAACATCAGTTTTTCTCCGTATAAAATCAAATAATGATGAAATAAAATTAAATATAACTCAGACATATATAACTCAGACATTATATTATATCATTCGAATATATTGAAATTATATCTTAGTTCGTTCATTATTTATCTATCTTATCTGATTTCTCGTATCTAAATTTTTTGAATGCGCATGACTTTATTTTTATACAGATTTATACTGAATTATGAGTTTGCTATAGATATGCTATAGATATACTTATATTACCTCGATAAGTTAAAATAAGTGGATTTATTGACTTTTTATTAATTATGTGTTTTTATGTAATATTCCCTGTAAGAAAGTTAAGATAAAACAAGTTATGATAAAATGACGTATATATTGCAGAAATGATACTTACCAAAACGACTTCGCCAGATACATCTTTTTTTTGTCTTGGGACAAACAATCTGTACGTTCCTTCGCAGATATAGTAAAGAACTTTCAAAATAAGGACCAAGAGTTTCAATATGATGAAGAGAATTCCTTTTATACTTGAAAAGTTTCCGGTATCATTCATGATTATCTAAAAATTTATGTTTCTTGTAAGAATATACCATAACATCGATTTATTAATATTTTGTATATAATCACCGACTATTTAATTTGTTATAAAAAAAACAAAAATAACTTTGTTACAAAAATAACTTTGTCCTAAACTCAATAAAACTTGATGCCAGAAATGAACTCCTAAAATGGACTATTGTTTTCCGTCAACATAAACCGGACTTATGGATCTCTCTATTATCTTCACGCCTTATTAAATAACATTAATGTACATAGAATATTCCGAAAAAGTTCACGGAAGTTCAATGAAGCGTTAATTAAATGTCCAAATTGAATTATAGTGGCGTATAAAAGTTTCGAGCCAAATAGTTTTTATTACATATTTATTATATGAACGCTAAAAAGAACACACATATATAACAAAACACATATATAATACATATATAAACAAAATATTTATTTTGGTGCTTTAATTACATAAACTTGAGAAGCTTTCTCTCTCATTCGATAGCTGCTACTAAACGGCTCATCTCTCTGACCTATAAGTCCGCGAGCAAGTAACATAATATATATATATATATATATATATATATATATATATATATGTGTATATATATATATATATATATATATATATATATATATTACCCAGAAAATTAATTTTAGGGGAAACTAGATATACACATATATATCCCATACAGCACGTAATATTGCAGTGATATTGCAATATAGTGGTAATATTACATATCACAGTGAAATATTACAGAAATATTACTGAAATATTGCACCTTTACATATGTCATTGAAATATTACAGAAATATTACTGCAGTATTACATACTTATATCATTGAAATATTAGACATTTATATCATTGAAATATTACATTTATATATTTGCAATATTATAGTTAAATTATAGCAACATATCATATTCTAAATAGAATCGTGACATCAATTGACATATCAATTTCTTTGACATTATAGACATCATTAAAACGTTATTACGGCATCATTTAAAGTCACTTTTCCTTACAGAAATAGTATTTTTTTAATGTTTCTTTTAAAATTCAATATTTCGATTTGTTTAATTTGGATTTTCCTGGATTTTTAATTTCCTTTTGTTTGGATTAATCATTATAACATTTTGTTAAAAATCTAAAAGTAATTATCACTGGTTCACTACATTACATCAATATTTATCACATATCGAATGTTGTTGCATTGTTTTAATATCTATCAGCAAATTATCAAACAAACACTAAGTAAAAATTATATAACTATTATTTGATGTTTGCTAAGTATATTATAATGTATTGTGAACACTCTAAGGATACATTATATAAGCATGAATTGTAAGAACATCGTTGGAGTCATCAGAGTCACCGCGTGCGCGCTCGATCGTCAGGTTAAGTAACAGTTTAATGCGGTTAGGACATGGATGAGTGACCAGTGGTATATCGTGCTTGGGATCGAAATTATCGCTGGAGGATTTCACGAAAGTTTGGAGTGTATTTGACAACCTTCGATATATAGTAGTTTATGAAACATGAGAAAACTAGGAATATCCCTTATAGAAATATCATACCGTTGCGTCTGTCCTAAACTGACGCGTACTACATTACCAACGCTTTCGATAGCAAGAACTGGAACGAGCATTATTAGCATTTTTGGTGCTAGTGTGTGTGTGTGTGTGTGTGTGTGTTAGGCACGCATATACGTGGCTCTCGTTTGGTTACATTATCCTTTCTCTACGGCTCATACAGAGATCAGTGTTAGGATCTATGTAACGACGATCGTCACAGATCGACAAAGTGTCTCTGCGTAAGCGGAGAGAGAACAACGTTGCATATTAGATCTGGCAACTCTACGCTGCGTGCGTGGAGTCGAAATTGTATTACTAATGAGGCCGTGTCGAACATACACTGCTATCTAGCGTCTGTCCTAAACTGACGCGTACTACATTACCAACGCTTTCGAAGTTCACGATCGTGTTCAGCATCGCCTTAAACGGTTGTTGATACCGGCTTTTAACCGAGCCGGTTTTGGAACGGTTGTGTCTTGTGATTGATATACGCGAGATGCGTTATGCAAAGAATCATTGATAATTACTTATTTTCAGTATTAAAAATACTGGATAATAAGTAATTATCAATGATCTTAGTATGATATTTCTATAAGGTTACGCCACTCTGGATTTATCATCAAGAATGAGATACGTAATATAATCGGTTAAATGAGTTCGCCAAGGACGAACAGTTTAATCGTGATTATAACATTGAATTATAGCAAGAACTGGAACGAGCATTATTAGCATTTTTAGTGCTAGTGTGTGTGTGTGTGTGATGTGTGTGTGTGTGATGTGTGTGTGCG